CTAAGTAGTTTACATCCAAGATATATTCAATACTGGATCGCTGCCTTTACTCGGGTCATGGCTCTCTCGGTTGTGCTACCGGTTTCGGGTGGGGAAATTCCATCAAGCGGGGATTCCGGGTTCACTCGTGCTGTAATCGCAAGGGTTAAGGAGATGCCTTTGATTTTTGTGATGGTGGGTTTGAAAGGAATTTTTCAAGATGAAGATTTGGTTATCCGTCCCCCTCCTGAGCCACCGCCGAGGAGGACTTGCTGGGTGGTGGTGAAGAAGAAAACTAGTTTTGGTGTTTTTTTTGTTTATCTGTTTTGGTTATTTTAAATTTGGATGTATTGTTTTTTTTACTTTAATTTTGGTACTTTCTTTCATTGTAAGACTCTTGCATTAAGGTGAAGGGATAAAGAATCTGCGGTAACCGTCATTCGCTCTAAATTGCCCAAATTTGGTCTAGCGAGTTATACTGCTTCTTTACAGGTGGTTAGCTCTCAGTCTCGGCCACGGGCGGATGGTTATCTGTGGTTTTTTTTTAGATCTGTACCCTTGCTGAATGCTACTTTTATGAATTAATGTCTTCTTCGAGCAAAAAAAAAATCTCAAGAAACTATGTACATATGGAGTAGTTTTTAACATTAAATAATCACAATAATATGTTGTATCAAATTGAACTAAAAGTTAACCGTTACAGAAAATTCACAAAAGTATATGTTTCAGATAGTTGTGTCATGCATACTCTAATTAAGGATGAATAATACAAGTTGTTTATGACAACATGTTGAATGTAACATCTCAAAAAGATCATTTACAACAACAACATTCATACCTTAGTCCCAAAAGATAGATTTAGGAGTCGCCAAAATGAAGCTAGTCCCAAAAGATTTAGTAGATACCCCTACTACATAACGATCAAGCTAGAAACCCCAAAATCAAGAAATTTGACCAAAATTTTGGGGTCAAGTTTCATTGAAACCCTACGTCGCTACGTAATACATGACTGACCGAAAAATGTGCATTCATACGTTATTGGTTATAAACAAGATGTTGCTTATTTCTCATAATTTCAATTCCATTCCATTAGCCATCTTGCATCAAAGAAATGTCGTTTTGGTTCAATGTTGAGTTCTTGTTGGCTGTTTGGCAATTTGAACCAATCATTGCTCGGCAAGAGTTAATTGAATTCCCCGCACATTTTGTTCTATAATCTACTCCGTATAAGAACATTACCCGTAATGCTAGCTATATATATACTCGCTCAATTACAGTTGTATAAGCAAGCACTAACAATCTTTCACCATTTAGAATATTAAACATTCAAACTGTCAATTTTCGATTTATAAAAAGCAATCATCACCTTCCCCACGATCGCAACGAAAGATTAGATACAAAGACACTGGTCGAGCTTTGGCGCATATAAGAGTAAAAAACTTATACCACGTACAATAGTTTTTTATGGTATGATGATACTCTTCATAAGATTTTTTATGGGTCGTATGGTACTTTTTTTTGCAAACATGGTGTGATACTTTTAAAGAGGCATTTTAGGTTGAATGGTGAAAAAAAATGTTTTTGGACAACGATACCATAGGTCGCACACTCGCACGGAACTCATGATAAATATACTCCTTGCACTTTTTTTGAAACCCCAAAATCAAGAAATATGACCAAAATTTTCAGGTCAAGTTTAATTTGCTTGTTTAAGTCTAACTTGATTTGTTTAGGGACGACACCTTCCAAAGTTCCAATGTAACTAAATTTCATTTGATCTCATTTATTAATATATGATATGTTCTCACGTAAAACTTGTTAAATCTAAAGAACACGTTGTAAAGAGCAAAATTTGTGTAACTCATGGACCCGTGGTAGCAAGAGTACAGCATGAATCTATGATCCAATAACACTTCTCTCAGTAGTCTTTATCAAGTAAAACTCGTACTCACTCAAGCCGTTTATTTAGCAATTAATTAAGTTCCTACCTCTGTTCTAAAAATCGTTTTAGGCGTACGATTAGTCCCCGCCTAAGCGTTAGGCGGTGGTCGTACGTCCCGATTTTCATCTAGGCGCTCCGACAAATTGGTTTGCCGTATAGGTGAATTTGTCAGCCGCCTATGGCGCCTAGTTGCCCGCCTAGAGCCCCTAATCGGCCGCCTATGCCCTCTAGATTCGCCAAACATTACTTCATTTTTTAATTTAAATTTTCTAAGCGATATACGTACTTTAACTTTAGCCATGAATATAAAGAAATGAAGTTGTAAATTAAGATAAAATTATGTATGTTTGTATATATACCTAAATTTTATCATTATTAATATTTATAACATAATGAAGTTAGCTGATTAGTTATCATATACTACTTATGATTAAATGTGATAATTAATCATTCATGTTTCTTAATGTATATGTATATATGTATTTTATACACACAAAAATACAATATCACTTATCATATTTATACAAAAATATAGATAAAAATGTATTTTCTATGGCTCCAACTAGTCACCGACTACGCGCCCGCCTAGCCGCCTAGGCGCAAGGCGTTGGGCTGGCACCTAGCGCCTTTTAGAACATTGGTTCCTACTAACATCCTCAAATGAAACTGTATTTATTAAAGAAGTAAATGGTTTTAAAATCAAAATCATTAGAATCCCTATTTCATGAACATAAAACAACAAAGTAGAGGGAATCAAAAAATCTACAACACTTGGCTAAATTAAAAGTGAAAACTGTATATACGGACTTATTTTCTGAAACCTTGATACTAACTTTGGTCTATACTTACAAAGGTTGTCTATGTTACAAGCTGCTTGTGTGCAAGATCTCATCACAGGCCCTTGAATGAGTGGGAGGGTAAACTTTGGAAAGGTTGACTATGGGGATGTTTGGATCTAATTCTCAAAACTGATTCCGCTCCTTCAGAGAGCAGAAGCAGAAGCTGGAGTGGTTGGGTGAAATTCCAGAAGCACTTCTGGAGCTCTAATTTACTCTCAGAATCAGTTTTTTAGAAGCTGGGAGGTACCAGCTTCTGAAAACTGATTCTAATTCTGCTTCTGCTTTTAAAAAAGAAGCAGAAGCAGAATCAGTTTCAAACACCCCCTAAGTTTACCGTTTAGCAAAATACTAGGAAAACTATAAATATGCAAACTTTAATCCCAAGTTAGAATTTTTTATTGAGAATTCTCAATTTTTTATTGAGAATTTTTTACATATACGAGTAAAAAACTTATACCACGTACAATACTTTTTTATGGTATGATGATACTCTTCAGAAGATTTTTTATGGTATGGTACTTTTTTTTGCAAACATGGTATGATACTTTTAAAGAGGCATTTTAGGTTGAATGGTGAAGAAAATTGTTTTTGGACAACAATACAATAGGTCGCACGGAAGTACGGAACTCATGATTAAAATACTCCCTACACTTTTTTGGAACCCCAGAATCAAGAAACTTGACCAAAATTTTTATGTCAAGTTTAATTTACTTGTTCAAGTCAAACTTCATTTGTTTACGTATGACACCTTCCAATGCAACTAAATTTCATTTGATCTCATTTATTAAAATATGATACTCCGTATGTTCTAAGACTTCTAACGCAAAACTTGTTAAATCTAAAGAACACGTGGTAAATAGCAAAATTTGTGCAACTCATGGACCCATGGTAGCAAGAGTATAAGACTACAAGTGTATAACATGAATCTATGATCAAATAACACTTCTCTCCGTAGTCTTTATCAAGTAAACTCATACTCCCTCAAACCGTTTATTTGCAATTAAGTTCCTACTCAACATTCTCAAATGAAACTGTATTACTAAAGGAAAAGCTTTGAAAATAGAAATCATTAGAATCCCTATTTCATGAACATAGAACAACAAAGTAGAGGGAATAAAAAAATCAACAACACTTGGCTAGTATATATAATACCCGCATGCTTTATGATAGCTAGTACGGAGTATAAACGATTAAAAGTGAAAATGGTAATTGAAGGAAATGAGGACATTCAAGTTCTATTTAGAATCCCTGTAAATACGGACTTATTTTTGAAACCTTGATACTAACTTTGGTCTATACTTACAAATAGTGGTGGACCGGTTCCGGGCCGGGCCCGGTTCGGGCCTTGAACCGGCCGGGCCTCGGTTCAAGGTAGGGGAGGCCCGGAACCGGCCCGGGTAACCCCAGGTCCGGATCAGGCCGGGCCGGGCCCGGTTGTATATATATTTTTTTTTTGGGTTTTCCTAATCAACCCCCTACCCTCCCCCTCAACCCCAAACCACCTCAAATGGCCCAAAATAACCAATCCAACCCAAAAACTTAAAAAAAATTCAAAAAAAAAATTAAATCCGGCCCGGACCGAGCCCGAACCGGCCGGGCCGGTTCACCAAAATGAAGGCCCGGGCCCGGAACCGGTAGCCACCAGGCCGGGTCGACCCGAACCGCCCATGGGCCCGGCCGCCGGGCCGGTTCAAACAGTGACCGGGCCGGGCCGGTTCCGAGTCAGGCCGCCCGGCCCGAGTCCATCCCTACTTACAAAGGTTGTCTATGTTACAAGTAGCTTGTGTGCAAGATCTCATCACAGGCCTTCGAGTGAGTGGGAGGGTAAGCTTTGCACGGGTTGACTATGTTTACCGTTTGGCAAAAAACTAGGGAAAAATATAAATATGCAAACTTTTATCACAAGTTTGAATTTTTTATCGAGAATTCCACACTCCCTATGACTTTTCTTGCTGAAAACTTGGATGTCTTTTTCCTGCTTTCACCTAGCCTTTAACTAGGCTTTAAAGAGTTTTGCTTTTCAACTAGCTTTTAAATAGGCTTTAAAGAGTTTGGAAAATCAATTAAAAAGACAACTAAAAAGAAAACATTAATTCAAAAAATTGCATTCAGAAAATAATATTGGAGTATCTCACATCTCTAAGGATCTCAAATCTCTGAGTGTGACATGTCTATCAAATTTGTTTGATTTATTTATCTCCCAATTTTGTTTGATTTATTTGTCTTCCAAATATTTGTCGATATGATTTGCCAGTTTATTCTTTAGTTTTTCACATTGCTTTCCCAAATCAAGTTCCAAATGTTATATAACAAGTATAACCAATTTGACATCCATAGCTTTTGGTTGTCCAGATTACATGCTCCAGCAACTGCTGTAAGGATCTATCTCCATCTCAAGCACAGGCATTTATCACATAAATTTACACGACCAATACTTGCCTTTCTGGAGAGTTCAGCTTTTATACCAAAATGACAAAATCTAATAACAAATTTACCATCTCACTCAAAAACAGAAACTTCTCCGTTCCAGCTGCAAGAAGCAACAACGTTTGGCATAACAGGATGGAAGACGGCATCTATGCAAGCTTCATCATATGCCTTGATTTTTTTGTTCAGGTGACCTGATTTGGAATTGTAAAAGTAGATATATCCATCTGAGGAACCACTTACAATGATAGTCCCATCCAAGTTGAAATTGCATTTGATGGGGAATCCGGTCACACTATGGCTTTCATACCTTTTATATTTATCCAGTCTGAAGGGAGGGGATGTAGAGAAGATTGCTATGTAGTTTCCATTTGATTGTGCAATAAAGTAGGCATCAGAAGGGTGGCATCGTATAGAGGGACAGGTATAGGCTTCACTGTAGACCTGAAAGGAATGCCTCCGAGAAACATAGCATTATTAGTATATTATATTATGTGGAGAGTACAAACATTGTTGCGTACTTGCATCAAGATTATACTATTTGAACAATAACTCAAAGCATTCATGGATCTTGGTTTCCCGTTATCCTAATGGTCTACTTGAAACCTAGAAAATGCTAGGGAGAAAATAGGGCGGAAATGATAGAGGGAGATTTCGGAAACAAGGGAAATTTAGTGGGGAAAAGAAATGGTTCAAACTCCAAACATCAATGTAGATATTTTCTCAACCTCATTTTATTTTTTTATTTCTATTATACTCCGTAAATACTTTGAGAATAAAAATCTAAATGTATGCAAAAAGTCAAAAGCTTTCATATATTTGATTTTCCTAAGCATTTTGCCCATTTCCCAACAATTTTCTGTGTTCCAAACATAGCATAAATGTACTTAATGATGATATCAATATGAACCGCGAAAATGACGGAAGGTTACACTGCGTAATAAATACCTGGTTGGATAAGGGAATTTCCCTAGAAATATCCCAAATGATTATTGAGTTTTCACTGATATTGCTTCCAGAAACATCACTCGAAGAGATCAACTGCTTGCCATCAACTGTGAATTCTACATCAAGTATTGGACCAAGATTCTTCTTATATTGATGGACAACCTTTCCGGTTCTAACATCCCACAGCTTAAGGCCACCTCTAGACCCACCAGACATGAATAGGTTGAAATTGTAAGGATGAAATTTCACCACTCCTACAACTTGGTCCTCCTTGAATATCTGAGTTTCAACTCCTTTTTCAACATCAGTTAGCCTCGAAGAGCAGTCATATCCACATGAGAGCACAGAGAGCCCATTATGTGACCACTTCACATCTTTTACAGCAGCAGTGTGATGAGTGAATACGCGCACTTTCTTATTACCTTTACTCCAAACACTCCATATGCAAACAGTTTGATCCATGCCAGCAGATGCAAGAAGGTGAGCTGAAGGCTAAACACTTCAGTCATAAACCGGCAAATAGTGTAATAAACATCATCATTATTGATAAGCTTAGTAAGTAAAAATACAAGAACCCGGATACATTATACTATGTTAAATGCTAAACTAACCAAATTGATAAAATGGATTTACACACTCGCTTTTGAAGAGAGAATAGTGCTTGAATTGATATGAATGAGAGATCCACACGTGCAGAATATGTTGGGGTTATAACCAGAACTCAACTAATTTTGACAATAGGATTCATTCAAAGATAAAAATGAACATAAACTTGAATTTCAAATCCTGGAAAAGCATCTTCCCTCCTTTCTGCTTGGTTTGAAATGGCACAATAGCACATACCTAAGTGGACCCTCAAGCAAAAAAAAAAAACCACCAATATTTCTCTTTTGAAGTTTTGGTGTTTCACTTTTTTAACTAATCGTTGGGCCATTAATACCAAACATCAACTCTATCTATTTAGAAAATGATACACAGAACAAAGCAACAGAAATAGTGTAACAATTCACATACAGTGTTACCCAAGTTTTCTATTACATTTCTATGCAACCCAAAATTTTTTAATACAAACTCCATACCAAACAATGATGACATTAATGGGGAATGTTGGAGAGAAAGTTTGTATAAAGTTAATTATGCATGGAATACTTACAATGACTTCTTGACCAATGCACAGTATTAACTGATCTTGAGTGCCCATCAAGAGCTACTGTAAGTCTCTCAGGCATTTGGATAAAGCGCTTATTTATGTTAGATTGATGCTTCAATGCAGATAAAATATTTTGAGGAAGATCTACAGCAGAAATAGGTCCCATCGCTGGAAAGAATTTGCATTTCAAGTTAGGCTACCGAAAAATGGTTGATAGAGAAAAATATAACAACCAAATAATCAACACCAACAGTCTTCAAGAAGTACAAAATACATTAGATTTTATTCTTTCACTAATAGAATAGTATGCAGCCTCATATAAACAGGTTTTCTGATATAGAATTGATAAATATGTGATAAAATGTTGGATAAAGTGGAAGAACTGGAAGGTATGGACAACTTTATTAAGTATATCTTTCATGTCTTTTGAATATCATGAGTTGGATTAAATATTCTTTTGCTAATTAAAGTGATATTATTTTTTAAACTTACAATTAAAGTGATATTTTTTTTAATTTAAAAAGCCAATGAATTTTTATGAATGGCCTCCATAAAATAGCTCTTATCAAAGTGTAGGGGATATGAAGTTTTTGAAAATAAAACTACCCTTTGACAAACTACCCTTTTATGAAATGGCCTCCATTTAGTTTTAACAAATTTAGCATACACTTGAAAATATTACGCAAAATGCCATAGTTTAAGTGATTTAACTAAAATAACACCGGTCACAAATACCAGTTAATTCCGTAGAGGAGTTATCCTGGGTGTTTAATAACATACTCCGTAATTTAAATGAAAATTGAGTCAGAATTCATTATTGAGTCATAATGAACCATTTGGTACAAAATATTCTCCTATCAGTTTCAGTTCAAACTGTTGTCATTGTACAAATGGTATCTTCTAAGCGTGGAATTTGCCAACTCAACTTTTTTCAAATAATGTTCACATATGATAAGCCCCGCTGCAGAAATCTTTTAACGGACAAGTTAGCGTAATTTATTCAAGTAACGCTAAACAGCAGAAGCTTGAGCATTTTTACTTTTTCAGTAACTAGGCATTTTGGATTGAAAATCTTACTAAATTAATCAATCCAACCATATCACCTCTTAGACTCTTACCAAAGTAAACATCCTATTAGTTGAAATCACATACTTGGTTCATTATTTGAGCTTCACATTACAAACCATACCTAATGAATTAAACTTAAGATATTTGAAATAACAGAATAATGTTCATTTGGATCAATTAAGAAAATCTTGTTCTTTTCTTCATTTTCCAACTAGCTCAAGAAAAAGAAGTAACCATACCTAATGATTAAGAGCATGCTTGGAACAACTATACAAAAATGTAGACTAAAGATGGCAACGGAAGTTGAGTGGATGCTCATGGAATGCAAGATGAGATTACTAAACGTGTATGGCAAAATGAGATGAAATGATAGCTGAAAACAATGAAAAGACTGGATACCTCAAAAGGTATATGTGTAATAACGTATTGATAGAATAAAATTAATCTAATTTTCCCCCCTCTGTTTGATGGTTGAAAGTTGGATGAGACATGAATACATGATATTTCATCTAATACCTAAGTGACTTGCCAAACATGCAGGTGCCTCTTTGGAGACCTGATAGTTGATGGTTTATAAACTTTATCAATTCCATAACCTTTTTTGTCATATTCCTTTATGAGAATCTTAAAAGGGTGAGTACGGGCCAATACCTGGTGAAGTGTGAGAGGGAGGCTGGTTGGGGCTGGAATCCCTCGAAGCAGAAACCGATGCGCTTCTCTCTCGCTTGGAGATGTACCTGCCCGGTAGAGGGCTCTCCGATGGGGGGTTTGAGGCGTCATTCGGGTGAACCACCGGCACGGATTTAAACCCTCGATTAGATGGTTCTAATCTGGCCCGTTTCTGAGGATTCCATCTGAGTGTGTTGCGTTCAGCTTGGACATGGACATCATCGTCTTCGTCGAATGAACTAGAGTATGCTTTAGATAAAAGATCCATATGGCGACCTACAAATACAATAAGCAATACACGCAGCGCTTTTACAAAGTAATGAATAGTTGATTACCATTTACAAAAATTGAGGATGAAAGCCATATAAACACTACAATATCTTAGCGGACCACCCCCAGACTCAGAACTTCGTTCAGAACAAGACACCATAATCCCCTTCTAAAAGATTACGGAGTATTTACTTATTTAGGGATTATTTTGATGATGTGGATCATACTTTTTGAGATTATTATAATTGAGATGTAATGATTATTTGAAGAGATTGTTTGATGAAAAAATCTGAGATCAAATTCTAAATATAGATTATTTGAGGATTATTTCCAACTTTTAAACTCATCTCCCAATTTTCTAGGGACACACTCATAATTGTAAAATCATCTACCCACGAGAATTTCGATTCTGCCAGGGGCATTCATAGCAGGAATATGTGACTTTGTCACTTTCTTTGTATCTGTGAATGCATCAGGCAACTAATTTGCAACATTTTGTAAATGGATTATCTTTTGCACCTCTTGCTCACATATATTTGATCTAGAATCAAGGTGTGATAATCCTGTTGCATTCCATGTTATTTCTTTCGTACTTGGGTCCGATTTATTAGTTTTACTTGTACCCATGTTTCTTGAGGAATTATGCATGCACTTTGTTTTCTAGAAATTAAATGTATGTCTCAAAGAAAATCTTGATAAATTAACATCATGGTTGAGAAAAGATTAATTGGTTTGGAGATTATTTGATATTTTCTTATGAGGAAGTCACATGACAATATTAAATCATAAAAAACTGCAAAATTGAGTAGCATGAATGTGGATGCTCTTAATCAAAAACATGTTTTTGATTGGTTTTAAGAGAACTGAAATCGAGTTTTGGAAATCTATTAGGTTTTATTCGATTTTTCTCAATCGGATCGGACCCAGAGGAATACGGAGTCACGGGTCAATCAGAACCGGCAGATCAACCTGATCAACCCCGAAAAACCGGTCAACTCCTATATAACATTTAATAGTAATAAAATACAGTTGTTCTACCATGGGAGCGGTGCATGGGGAGCATCTTGTTCCCACAGTCATATGCAATGTAAATTATGTGAATCAACGTGTAACTTTTGATTAATCAAAATGTAAATTACACTCATTCAAATGTAACTCATTGAAATGTAAACTGCTTTGATTCAAATATAACTTGGGAACAAGTCAGATGTAATTTTTTTAATGTAACTTTAACCTATTCATATGTAACTTAGGAACAAGTAGATGTAACTTGTGAAATAAACATTCAGGAGAATAAAAAAATCAAATTAATCTGAGTTGGAATAATACATGCTAAATCAAATCAAAAGAATTTGCATATAATTTTCAAAGGGTTATGCACAAATCTTCTTGGAACAACAAACTTTATTTGTTCATTAACAAAGAAGAGAATGAAGAAAGGAAGAGGACATGGAGGAGGAGGAGGATAAGAAAGAAGAAGAGAGATTAGCTGCCGCCCGTCGGTGGCCAGAGATCAATCTTGTAGCAGCTTCGATCGATTGATCCAAGGTGTGCCAATCCCGGGTATAATTTGCAGTAATACACATATTAATATATTTAAAAAAACATTCTTTACTATGATAAATTGTTTCTTCATATTTTTTTAGTTTTAAAATATTTCAATATTTCAATATAGCATTGAATAAGAATTCTTAAGCATGCTTGAATAGTTAATATTCAAATATATTCACATATTCATCATATTCGAAAAAATAGTTTTACGCCAATTCTAATAATATCATTTGATATTTATTTTATATATCTATAATTATACTTTAATTTTCTTTATAGTAAATATATAAATGCTATGTAGTATTATTCAACATACTTTGTTCAAAAATCATTTTGGAATACTACACTTGTTGTAAAATGTTAAAAGTATTTTATAAACATTTTAACTTGTACGAAGTATTTGAATGCAGAGTTTTTTCCACAAATTTTACCAAAATACAACATATTTACAAAAATATGACAAATGTAATATCATGGTAACTTAAGTATAAAAATGAACATAAGTTATTACAATTTCATTACCACTCTAGTCACTAGTCAAAATTTTGTAAATAATCTTTATTTTAGTCATAAAATATGTAATTATTTAATGAATGTAATATACTCATATTTTAACTTATTTTTATTATACATTCATTACTCCGTATTACTAAAGAGTATTCCATAATAAACATTTTAATTTTTACGTTAAGAATATATATGGCTAAAGAACCAATAAAAACAAAAACATAGAGCGGCAATTTGGATTACGTCTCACATTTTCACGCATTATAATAGTAGGATATAATAGACATTTAATTTAATTAGGGGTTGTATTTAGTAAAAAGGGGCTGCATTTATAATTACACATGATAAAACATATACGGAGTACATATACTAATTAAAAAAACAATAATTGGGCTGGACCGGAGAACACCCCTGCTCACATCCATCCGCCCCCTGCCACCTGGGTTCATTTCCCATACCTGCTGGCAATTTTAAGTTTTAACAGGTTATATTTCTGGATTTGCCAGGTTCCCGATTAGTCAATGGATAATCTGATCGGGAAAAGGACCGGTTCACTTGTTCCCGGGCCGACATGTCCGATCCGGTCTGGTTTATTAAATATAGGTTTTTCTCAGCTACGTTTGAGGTCTAATACGGGTTAAAAGAAATACTATCAAACTTCAATACAAATTGCATATTGTTCGGTTTTAATTTGCCACCGATGATCTCGCAGCCGTCAGCGACCACCGCCGGTTAGTGACTGCGTCAACCAGTGATAGTCGACAACAACACTCACGCTATGCAGGTGCGTCGTTACTCTTTAGCATTTCAGAGGTCCTACACAGATAAATGCTTACTATGTACAAACCATATTGAAAATGACATAAATTGAATAAAAAGCACCATATGAAAAAAGCATATTCAAAGTGCACCATATATATAATGTTTTTAATATTGAAAACTATAACTATTTAAATGCAAATATATGTAAAATATATTGCAAATTGTACCTGTAAGAGCTTATTGATATATTTTTCTTGCCTTCAGAAGGCCAAAATCCGAAAAAATAGAGCTGACAATCGATGGCATTATCAAATTTTGATGACGAGGATGCCAAAGAGGTTGATGCAGCCGAGGAAAGCATGGAGAGTCCGGTGGTCGGCATCATGCTGTCAGACGGGAAAATCAAATTTCAGGGGTTCAATGATGGCCTACGTGCGAAAGAAGACAAAGAGATGTTGATCTGTCCCCCTCCTGAACCGCCGCCATGGAGGAATTGTGCAAATAGGGTTTGAACGTCTATTTCTATTTTTGCTAAGAGTTAAGACGATTGTGTTTTGTTTTTATTTTATTTTATGGTGTAAAACTCTTGCATTAGGTATGGGGGATGAAAGGTATACGGTAATCGTCGTTGGCTTTATTATGCCTAAGTTAGGACTATCGAGTTATATTGCTTTATCAAAGGTGATTACTCAGAGTCTCGTCCAAGGGCGGATGGTTACATGTGGTTCTTTTGTTATCGTACACCCTATCGGAATGATATTTTATCAATATAAGCTCCCTTAAAAAAAACTCTCGCCAACTTATTCTTTCTCTTTGTACACCTTGAATAAAAATTTTGTTTTCCCATCCTAGCATACACAATTATAGATTAGACAAAGAGATAATTATCCTAGGTGTTACTAAAACTTCATCAGTTTCCCAATCTATGAGTTAATGAGTTTTTTCCACAAAATATTTTTAAAATTCGTAATATTTAATTAATATATTAATAAATAATTAAATAAATAGTTTTATGGACTAATCTGCCCTTAAGTTATTGTTATAAAACCCTAACATCCTACACCTCTTCTCCAACCCTAGCTGTAGCTACTCAGCCGTCCAGTCTCCCCTGCCACCGCCATCTAGCTGCCTGCCGCCATCCATTGCCACCACCCACCATCCATCGCCGCCCAACCGCCTAGCCACCGCCTGCAACTCCTTGAATCATTGTCAATTACAACACAATGGATTGAATGGAATATACGTACTTAGTATGGTATATGCAATCTGGCATCCTCACATTTCGATCTCTTTATTGTAGATCTGGCGAAGAGGCTCCCCGAAGGATTCATCATCTTCCCAGTGATTTTTATTTCAATTTGGTCTGTCACATCTATTTTTATCTTTGATTTCAATTTTGTCCGTTCCATTTGGATTATTAAAGCGTTGTGGCAACTGGCAAGTAGTAATTGATTGATGAAGGGTGGTTGTCTGACGAAATTTGAGATGGGAGGTGGTAATTGAGTATGGTTGACAGGAGTGGAATCTAATGCGCTCGGATGAATTTTTGGATTTGTCGAAATTTGGGTTTGTAAACATGAGCATTGAACTTGGGCAGTGAACGTGAGCAATAAATATATCGATAAATATGATTGAGTATGAGGAATGAATATGACAATAGATAATGTTGTACATATGCAGTGAATGAATGCATTGACGAAGTGAATGAATGCATTGACGAAGTGTGTTGTGCAGTGAATCAGATGCAATATATTCTGCCATAACGTTGACGGAAAGTGCAGTGATTATGACATGTAGTGCATTAATGTAGAGCAGTAGAACCACATGAAATGCGATATATTTAATTAGGCAAAAAATACTACAATTATTAAATTTAAAAAAAAAGAATTATAAATAAATTCCTAAAGTGGGATGAAAAGAGAACTAATCTTGGCGGAAGTGCACTCATATGTTAGCGGATGTGCATTAATGTCATGCAGTAATGTCTTGCAGTAACTGCATCATTTTTAATTGGACGGAAATAGTGTAAAATGCTCATTTTTTAAATAAGGATATTTTGGTCATTAAACATTTTAATATGAACGAATTTTTATTTTTATTTTGGTTTTTTAGTGATACGAATGTCAAAAAACATAATTAGTCATATTTAGGGAAACTCAATATGTTTTAGTCAAATCCCGGGAAATTTCCCTTAGACAAAATCACAAACAACCCAATTAACAAAAACCTTAACCTCTAAATTAAATACAATGACTAGGGGTGCAAATGAGCCGAGCCGCTCGTGAGCCGCTCGCGAGCCGCTCGGTCAAAGCTCGAATCGGGATCGGTCAAATTCGAGCTCGACCCGGCTCGTTAAGCAATCGAGCCCGAGCTCGAGCCTTCTAATTTCAGGCT